GACAGAAAGATCCTTCTTCACGTCTGGTTTTGAATATTGAACTCATAGGTTTTCTTTGTTTCTTTCGCAATAAATAACACAGCAACACATCATCTTCTTCGATTAACCTTTTTAGAAGCATTTTTGTACTCATTTTTCACAGAATATGTGCACGTATGTCTCAACAAAACAAAGAAAACAAACACTTTGCCGCATGTCTCGGTCGTCACCTCAGAAGTGTGTGGCGACAAGCTGCGATGTGTCCGTCTCCCGTCTCTGTCGCCTGCCTCGGTCGCTTGTCTCTGTCGCGTGCAGCCAAATTGTACCTTTACGGTGTGCTGCTCATCCGTCCAACGAGTCGTACCACCATTTCTAAAGTAATCAAATTTGAGAATCGTTTATGACCTGGAAAATGTCACATGGACGAAGCCTTACAAATTACAAGAACTTAGATACATGACGTTAAACACTACTCGTGCAGATGCAACCAAAAGACGGGGGTGTAATAAACTGCTGTTTCATGAGCAGTCACAAATTGACCCTATGATTCTGTGACGTAAAAAGTAAAAAGGTACAGCTGTCCCGCTATACACCATGTAGGTGCTTAGGGTGAGAGTTGCATAGCTCCCACTCATTCTTAAACTCGCCACTAGATGGGGGTGTTTCTGCAGTATGTTAACACTAAGTCTTGTGAGGAACTTTTAATGTGGTATTTACCAATACAAGTTTTTGTCAGGCTTGCCCCAGAATACAAGTTGGCAAGTGATGTTACACAAACACTAAATGTCAGTAGCAGATAGCAAAATAAATTGCAGGTATCCGTGACGGACATTGTGTGTTATATTAGGAGCAGATATTTCGAGATATCGATGATTGTTTCAGACTGCCATCTACCAGAATATTGTGAACTACGCGATGTCTCTTCAGCCACCGTAAATCGGAACCGAACAGTGTCTCCATCTGAAGATGCCGCTTTCTAGCCAAGATGGTCACGCTTCATGTGCTGTGCATTGAAAGCGAATAAAGCCTATTCATTAAAGTCATATTCTCCCTCAAGCAGGATCACCCCGCATGTTTCCAGACTGTTGTTTATTGCAGAATAATGGAAGCTTACTAAGTGGATCCCAGTTCGTAAGTTTTAGTCTACTTTCCTGATGAACTTCATGGGGCATAAGTCGCTAAGTTGGTATAGATTTTTCCCGCCTGTTACGTGACCCGAAAGTACTTTATCGTGCTCATTAAACCCAATTTTAAGCCATATAAATCCAGGCCACACCCTAACAGGCAACTCACTTTTATATTTTCCACCGATCTTTTTTTGAATCTCAGGAGTGGCCTCTTCCTCGCAGGATTCTGTATGATTTTCTTATCAGCCCCAATCATGCTACACATCCAATCCATCTCATTCTCTTTGGTGTGATCACTAACATTATACTCAATGGAGAGTGCTGCAGCCTCCACACGAAAGGCTCTATTTATCACTGCCGCCCACTTCTACGCCTCCGCCTGACTTCGGCTAGTCGGAAGGTTCACAGCGACAAATCAGATTATTCGCCTTAGCGATTGTGAACAAGGAAAGATTCGGCAAAGAGCATGCCAGTTGTAGCTGTGGGGTAGGTTGATAGGTGTGAATGTTGGGTGTCGAGTTATGTCTTTGAAAATGAAAATAAAAATATCGGGGCTTAATTTTCTTCATGGAAGTAGGCGTTCATTCACTTCGCAATTTATAATCATAATCATTCACACAGTGTAAATACCACGGTCTTAATGAAGCTGTCACACTATTGCATGTTATGTTGTAAATCAAATTCACGGAATTTATATTGTGAGAGTCAGTTACAATATTTCACAATTTTGCAACGACGTTTCTACAATCGTTTGGTCTAATGAATCTCAGCAGTTTCCTTAAACGACAAAATTTGCTTCTACGCAAGGTGACGGAAGTCCCAAGACTAAAAAGTCTCGCGTCTCCCTCGGAAGTTGGGTAGAAGTAATCTTCCTACGAAATAAAGCCAAATTCCGTTTCCTAATCGGAGGAACTTTCTGAGTCTTCAAAATTTCTGGAAGCTTGGTCTGAGGAGAAAACCTTCAGAAAATTCCCCAGACCCATGTAAAACATAAGGTACATGGGTGTTTTTGGTGTGAATCTACGAGGTGGCAAAACTGAAGAAATTAATTAATTTAGCATTATAACAAAATAATTCTAATAATACGGATCGGATACAGTACAAATTGTGAAGATCGTTACTACGCACATTTCTTAACTTTTCAAATACATTCCTCTGAACCCCACTGAACATGATATTTATCGAAATTAATATTTTAGTAATACATTATCAGTTTTACCAGTGTTGACACTCAGAGTTGTCAGCTAAACTAATAAACTTCAGTGCAATATACATCTTGCGCAGTCAGCAAACTGTGTGAATTTCTATGAATTGTATAATTTGCATCTAAAATTTTTTGGACCTACAATTATATTTTCATATTATGTTTGTAACTGAATCATAAACGTTACTAGGTACAGGCAAGATGAACGGAGATAAATTATCTCAGGCGTTCCACCACTGTTTACACACCGCCTCTGGGTCCCACTCGTACAGGGGGCTGCTTTTCGGGGTGTAAAGCAGTCGGAGTCCCTTCTAGTTTATTCGCTGTATGGATATGATGTTAGAAGACGGTGCTGATCCCGTTGGCTCGCGATCATAAGCTGCTTGCGCACTGCCCTAGCGGGTTCGAAACCCATCGACATTGCTGATATTTGCCCGCGTTTTCTATGTTTTCGTGCGAAGGTGTGATCTTTAGATGGGCTGATCCCACATCCACGGCGTTCTCCCACTTGTCTTAGTAAGCATTTAGAAAACATCTGTTATAGAAGAGGTCGGTTGGTTGATGTTTTTAAAATCGAATAAAATACAAGCGTTATTCGCGACAGCCAGCGTATGAAAATTATCAAAACTTAAGCTTAAAAACAAATATATAACTCAGGTATTTGTTTGGTGCTTGTTTCTTGTCAGTGGAATTTCCTGCACGGTATTGTAATTACATTCGTTACGTAAGCGTGTGATCTATCTATGTAACCGCCTTAATTTCAGATGTATTTTTGAAATTGTTGAAATATTACCATGGAACCGAACGTAAAATATAAATTTCCCTCCACTGCAGTGTTGTCATTTAACGATCTTAAAAACTGACCACAACTAAAGATGCGTGTTATTTTTTGCAACTTCACGATCATTCACAAACTGGCTATAGTTTGTATTTGATGGTTCGCAAATAAAATCGCAAAGGTCGGGCAACTTCTATTGGCATGTCGTTTACACCATACTTTTGTTAAAGTTCGTACATTGACTTAAAAGTGACGCGCACGCTGATGTTTTCCACACGGCCAGTATCAGGATCCTGCACGCAGCATTATCGAGCGCTGTGAGCCCCAGGGTTGGTTTGCTTTTCGGCCGATAGGCAGTGCATCTGCAGGCTGGCTGGGTAACTTCGTTCAGTCCGGCTGAAGCGAGCGAGCAGTATTGTTATTGGAAGAAGATTAGCAGCATGGTAGCGGATTAATATGTAATAACATTATGAACTGTTCGTATTTATATTTAATTTGCTTTGACAACGCATGGTATATTGGTTGAAATGAGTAAGGTTCATAAAGTTTCCACAGTGAATAGTATAAGTCGTGTGTTTAAATCGAAATAACATTTCTGAGTGTCAATAAAACAAGGAAGTTAGACCGAAGTAAGCAATTCCTTTGTGCTGAAGTGGATTCCATAATATTCAGCTTCAAGTGGGTTCCATCAGAAGTCCTGCTGCCGCACCAAGGTAAACAAACACATGAAGCTGTTGTACAAATCCCGTAAATTTAAGAGAAGGAAGCATCGACTTTAATATGTTTGATTTTAAATTTAGATAAAGGGGCGAGTTTATTAGGGCAGATGATATCCATAGACAAATAGCGATGCACATCGAAACATCTCAGCAAGAAAATTTGAATTCTGTACGTTTTGAACTGTATTGTAAACAAAGTTCTGCGTTGAGAGACGGTGACCTTACGTAAGGTGGATTCGTTTGCAATTGGGCCAGTGAGTATTAAACAAAACCCAATTTAGGTACGTTACAGTAGCTAAGTTAGGATTAAGGTCCAGTAATTGTAAGTGAAACTCTAATTATGAACAGTTATAAGTGGTTACCGCATTGTAAAGTTATTCAGCTTACGTTTATCACAATTTAGAGTTTTTCATGACATTTTAAAACCAGTATTGTCATTGAGTTTGGAAGTTATCTGTATCTCGGTGTTGTGCGTAGGTGATGAATCATGAGCAGAGGTTAAGTGAGGTTAAGTAGTGCAGTAAGTGAGAGAATTGCGAGTTACCATGGGCTGCGAAGGGAAGGGAAGCGACCGCAACCTTTTCGAAACTCGTCTATCTTCTTCGCCCGGTAAAATGGTTATGAACCTCCAAAATACTGTTAGCCGAAGGGTATTCTTCTCGAATACGAGATAGAAAAAGCACAGTGTGTGTTGTGCGTATTAATAGCATGGCCAATCTGTGTAGTTAACTGTGCTGTGTTGCTGCAGGTCAGTTGAGGTAATTTAGAATTGTCAATGAAAGGACGACTGTCAGGCCAGAACATTTACCCAAACTGATTTTAAAGTGCAGGCTACATCATACAACCAGGATACCATGTTTCAGATGTCAGTAATTCCTCCATCGATTTGTCCAAATAATAGTAGTATTGATAATAATACAACCCCTTTTTATAAATTAATTTCTTTTGTTAAAGAGTTTGCCAACAGGAAAGAGTCTTAGACAGGCAGACACTAATAATATTGACAATAACAATAATAATAAATACAGCATCGGGTTACCATGTGAGGAGGACTAACAATTTGTGCTGGACACCTTATAATGCTAGGGTGATTGGATTGATTAACACCGTTTTAAGCACGCGAGGGCTTCGAAAAGCCGGTCTCTGAACCGAGAGTAGCACAGATGACGTCCTTGAGTACAAAATAGGAATGCTGACTGCTACATAGTGAGGCTTAGATTGGAGAGCATGTGTCGAACTAATGACCGTGAAGTACGCACGTTGCATGATAGACTGTTAAGGTGGTAAAATGTACTAAACTTGCATCGTTTCTGCTAAAATGATGAAGAACTCTGTCCGTCGACGTCCGGGGCAAAAATGTCGTGCAGACTTTTAGGTAGATAGATACCAACGTTCGTTCACCTCAAATACGGAGGCAAATTTCTACGAAACGATGGAATCTCCTTGAAAGTCCTCATGGTGTTTAAACCCAGAAGAATAATATCGACATCTTTACAGCCCTGAGAACATGATATCTCACTCACCGAAGAAAGTTAAAACTGGACAACTTTTTCCGTGACTTTGCCTGAAGGCCCAAGTTTATTTTCAAGACGTATTTCAGAAAACATTTGCTGACTGTATAGGCATACAAATATTTCGTCCTGTGCACATTTTTTGTATGTTGCGTCGTTTTAGGGTATTCTTCACGCCCTAGCCTGAGGGCAGAACATCTTATGGGTCTAACCAAGTCTGTCTGTCGAATTTCTCTTAGGAGATAGGCAGTCCGCTTGACCAAACGTCATTTGTGCGCAACAGTGGGAGCTGTGGTTCCATTGTTAGAACACAATGTCAATCAACAATGACCCAGGGAAGCATTGTGGGTACAGTGACCTACCGACATAGCTGGAACACATGGTTGCTCTATAATGACCCAGGGACACAAGAAATTCGCAAAGAATTTTTCTGATGGCCCACTGTTCATCCGGTTCCTGTACCACTTTCTACGGGTGAGAAACCTCTTAGGAAGATACATTTGGAAGATCGAAGTAGGATAATGTTAAGTTTCGTCATATAGGAAACGCTTTGGTTCTAAACAGTGTCGATTCCTGCCATAGAGTTGGGTTAGTTGCTTTTATTAACGTTTAAGTTTTGTGACAGGAGCTTAGTTTGCATTTCCCCTGCACGTAAAGTTTGGACACTGAAGTGATATTTTAATTTCCTTGCGTTTAATCGCGTCCATCATATTGAGAATTAGCTGCTGCGTCTGTATTTTTATGGAAATTGTGTCAAATAACCCGTGTTATTGATATAGCTTGCGGCTGTTTGTTACACACGCCATGTTTATGAATACACACTGATGTACGCACATAGGCCCTTTATTCGTTGATACGATGTTGGCAAAACAGAGTGACAGTTTCATGACTTAACGATTGCCAAGGAAGATGGTGAATGTAGGCCACTTTTGTGCAATAAAGATCAATTGTGGTCACGTGGGGGTCAGCTCAGTGACAGATCAAAATTGATAGCATACTTACATCTGTACGCCTATGATTATGAAACCCAGTTTCACGTTTGCTGACTTTGGTTGCGCTCACAAAGACCTACAATTTTTCTGTAGTGGCCCAAGGTGGCAAAGTATTCTTTCTTACAAATTCTGCTGTCATTAGAACACTGAAGAACTTCAGTCAATACAGGTGAAGTTCGGCCAAGAATCGAACTCTGGACCTTCCGAATTGTAAACACTCAACTACAGGATCCGGCCATGTTTTGTTTTTCCCTGTGCTTGTTACATGCTCAGGACTCACATCTCGTTAATATTGGCTCGTTCATTCTAACGACATTACATTTTCGAGATCTTAGGCTCTCGCGGCGACAAGTATTAAGACAGCTGTCTTTTACGATGTTGCGTC